TGCAAGCATACCCGAGAACCATTCTGGTTCACGGACTAAAGCCGTACACAGGTAGTAAGCGCTTCCCCGGCACCTACGTGTACCAGGTTCGTAAATATCATGTTACAATGCGCTTTAACCCTTGCTAGTGCCGAAGTGGTTCATCTTACCTTGCCTTCGAGTACTCGCACCGCGGTGCGGAGCAGCGAAAGCCTCGGGCGCTATAATTGGAGACTCAAAAATATCCAGACCCAGAAAGATAACACATCCAAATACTCGAAACAGCCCTACTCTGAAGGTGCTCGTAAACCTACAATAGGATTGTTTATCTTAAGCCTTAACAGGCCCTGTTACTGCTTCTGAGGTAGACGCTCCACAAGCGAAGCTCCACAAGGGTCGAAGAACAAGGAACAAGCACCCTTATTTTTCGATGTTGCAGCATATGGCCTGTCATACCCACTGCTTCGGCATCAACAAACAAAACCAGTAGCAGCTCCACCATCATTCAAGCAGATTCGCGGCCACTGCGCCGTTTTTCTGCACAGCAGCAAAAGGTGCCAACCAGCACTGATTAACGTGCAAGGAATGTCAGCCCAATCCAACACTCGCAAATGCATATTCATTTGTTAAGTACTACTACAAAAAACAGCAAACTGGCAAGACTTTGCCCCGGCCTCAGTGTCAACAAAGCGTAGGTAAGTTGCGCGCATGACGCCAAAGTCAGGCAAAAAGTTGTTAAGCAGAATCGTTGCACAAGAGCCAGATAAACAAACAGCAAAACATGAACGCAGGGCTTTGGCTATCTTTGGCAGCCTTAAACTCAGGACGCCTTCCCCATTCCGACAAGCGTAAGCCCGTTCCACTCATGAGGACACGGCAACAATTAAACACGCAACCACTTCGATGAAAGCATTCTGGTGAGCTTGTGTCTCATTATCCGTGCTTTTCTACCATTCAGGAGAACGTTGGGGATCATCCGGAGTAATTACAACAAAATTCAATATCGTCCTGCACCCAGAGTTTCCACAATGGGTTAGACAATTGGCTGCCTCGGTACTGTTGGGTAAGAATGGCCCTCTTCAACTCGATTACCTCCATAATTGGGGGGCGTTTTCCTTCCTTGTATATAGCCAGTGCAGCACTCAGTCGATTAACCAGCTTGCTGAGCGCTTCCGTTCGTTCCATCCTTGCTGGCTCACCTAAGAAAAAATCCGTGTCGAACTTGTCCGCAAACTGAGCCCACCACTTCACAGTATTCATCTTTTCCCCCAGGAGCTCAATCGCGCATACCAGGTGGTCAAATGCCATAAACACATATGACAACTTAACAAATAGGTAGTTGGCTGTGCGTTTCTTAAGTGGGTTTGACAGTTTGACTGCCGCATAGCTTGCCAATAGTTCCGCTTCTGTCATGAGTATCTCCACGTCTTCAGGCGTCAGCGACGCCTTAGCAAA